CCCCCCTTTATCTGTCAAAACCACTCGTACCGTGTTGGCCCCTCTAGATCTCTTCGATGCTGCCGATATTGTCGTGGGTGAACTCGATTAAATAGCCAGGCGAGGATACGTAAATAACTGTCTCTTTATTAAGAGCACTAACGCTGAACGAAAACGAGACAAGACACGGTGAAAACACGAAACACACTTATAGGTCGGTACAACAGTCTATGGTCAGAGCCAGCAAACACATACATCCAAGGAATCCACAGTTCATAGTCCAAAAGAGAAGTCCGATAATTCATACACAGGGAAGCAGTCCAAAATAGGAGGGCAAGGCAGAACAGAACTGTCAAAGTACACGATCTGGGTCAAAATACTAAAACATACGCTGGAGAGTCAGAGCTGGAGTCTAAAACAATCTGGCAAGTGACTGGTGGGAGAAGGCTGCTTATAATGCAGTGAAAAACAGGTGCAAACAATCGGGAGCAGGTGAAACTAATGGGAGTGATAAATAAAGTAAAGTAAAGACAAACTGTTGTGAAACAAGGAAGGAAGTAATGTCAAAATAAAAGCACGACAGGAGGCAAATGGAACCGAATCATGACATGCATAGCACAACAAAAAAAATTCCAGCAGCTCTTGGCTTAAAAGACATATTATTTACATAACACAAAATTGTATAAGTCAATATAAAAATATGAACAAATAAGGGATGTGGGATGTATGGGACCTAATCAGGTCAGCAGCATGTTAGTAGCAAGAGTGTAGTAACAGTGCAAATCTCAGTCTTTAGGAGTAGGTGTGAGGTCCAGTGCTGTATGTACACAGTAAGTCAATCCTGGAATTCAGGCAATTCAATGTATTGACTGTACACGTTCCGATGCAGTAGGTGGCAGTATGACCATTAATCGTTGTTTCGCAATCCGCCGGAAAACAAACGGATAATGAGAAGCAGCAGAAGAAGAACGGAGGTGTTGAAAAAACAAAGCTCGGGGGATATATGATACAAAGCAGTTCTTCGGTTTTTAGAGAGTACAGGGCTAAGCAAGACAATATAATGTGAACTGAGTGCGGTAATGTTTTTATAGTAGTAGGTAGGGGCAGTTCTGATCCACACTTCAGTCTGGAAGGTAGGTGGGGGGAAATCCACCAAAGGGTGGTGCCCACCCGCCATTAAAAACAGCTGAAGAAGAAGAAGAAGAAGAAGAAGAAGGGCTTTGGTTAGCTAAATTTGGTGCGAATTACATATTCTCTGTAATTAGCGTTACCCCCGCCGATCAACGGAATTTAATCTAGTGTAATCCTAACTGCAATTGCAGGATTTCTAACTTCTTTCGAAAAGGCCGCAGAAATGGCAGATAATATAGGTGAGTGTGTCGGAGAACGCTGGTTTGGCAGCTAGTTGTGCTCAAATGAAGCTAGCTTGCTTGAACTCCTTGAGCAGATGCACTTTTAAATGCAATTAATGTCAGATTAAAACCTGGTAATGTACTTGGAACGGAGCTACACATGTAACGCTCAGTTAGCTATTAGGTTAAGCTATGTTCTGTAACCTGACCACCAAATTGAACCCACTGACAGTGTCTGTCCCAGTTAATGTTAGCCTATCCTACATGCGTGTTGACTGAAGACAGATTCAGGATAAACTTTACTCAGAAATGTCGCAGTGGGGCGTACTCAGGCTATACGGGTGTCTTTACATTTTATCCCCTTTAAATGAACCGAACTCGGTCCTCTTCACGTGGTTATAAGAAACGTTTTTCAAACCAGTTTGGCTCATTTCAAAGACAGATCGTGAAGGATCCCTGTGCAGGTACAACACAGGATGGGAGCAGACCTGCACAGGCGGACCCGGCGCATTAAGACGTTGGCCAGCGTCTGTCGGAGCTCGTTCTCCCGGTATGTGTGTCCCGCACTGTTGGCACTAGTCAGTCCCTGTTGGCGGCATTTCGGCCGATTTAACATGGTGAATCTGCGTCGGCAGTCGGGCCTGGTTGGTGAGAGAGAGACCAGTCTGATTGGCTGTTAAGCTTAGAGAATCAATGCAGGAGAAGAAAGCCCCTTCAACCTGTAGTATTCATGATTTCACCCATTTAAAGCAGTTTCTCCTTGGCTTTTGCCTCCACAACCTCCTTTCTTCTTCCACAACCAAAACAAACAAACAAACAAAAACAAGGGCAGATAGTGGCAGTTGTCATTTTCAACTTCTTATCAGACACATTCTCAAATAGAAGCAACTGTTTTTAAGAGAGGTGTTTTGTTTATAGCTTATAGGCGTTCTAGCTCTTCTTCTTTCCATTTGTGATTGGCGAATACAGATACTGCCCACTATTGGTAGGGGGAGTTATTTCTGTCGCACAGAACATACAGTACATGCTTGTCAGCCGGTGGCTGTAACCTGTGTGATGTGTTCAAGTGTTGCTTTTTCAACCCGACTGGCCTAGACAAAGCCGGCGTGAGGCAACGCAGACATCGCTGCTAATTCTTTCATGTTGGCTTGTTGTTAGTGATGGCCGATGAGTCTTTGTTGAAACTTCGACACAGTGGTCACACAAATGGTTCATTACTCGAGGCCTCAATGACACAGTGCTCCAGTAGGACATCTAGTGGTCAAGAAATTGAAGTACAGTCAAGATGTGCCATGCACATTCCTGTGGATGTAGGGGATTCGCACACTACATTTCAAGCTGACAATAAAATATAAAATAAACATGGACACATGTTGAAGACCATGTTTCTGATGTGGCATGTCTGATTGTAACCCTATATACTCCTCACTTATATTTTGTGTTATGAAAACATTTAAATGGTGCTGCTACATTCATGATATGTGCTCTACAAATTCAGACAGATGTCATTTTCACATGGGACTGGTGCAAATATAGATTATAGTATGGACTTCGGCAAAGTTTGTTTTGGGGTTCATTGGTAAAGAGGTTCATGGGTATGTGGGTAAAGAGGGTGTGCTTGAAGAACAGGGAAGTGGGTGTGTTTGTGTAAATGTTTGACTTTTTTTTTTTTTTAGAAATAACAGTATATACACAGTTTTCAGACACAAGTGGTTTCTCCTTCTACAGACTATTTCCCCAGCCTTGGAAAAAACCCGTTCACATGGTACAGATGAGGCTGGGGTACACAGTATAAGCTATTATTTCTCCAAAGCTTCTTCCGGTTCTTTTAAACCAGGAACTCTCAATGAGACGAAGTAGACTGCTTTAGATTTTATAAAAAATAACCGTGCTGGTTTATTCAGAGGATCACAGGTAAAATTCTTTCTGGGCTGTCGAACCGTGACGTCACCCGATAAACAAGCCTTGCAGCTGCTATAACATTTAGCCACAACATGAGGAAAAGTCAAGGTGCGTGACTGTTGTTTTCGTGGTGTGTATCTAAAACAATTGGACATAACCTTACACATTAAGACAAATATTAAGACTAGCATTACAGTTGACCCTAACAGCTCTTTTCCTGTAACCTTGACGTGCCTGCAGTCTGCACTGCAAGCACAGTTAACAGCCTGAGCTAGTCAATCTGTCTAAATAGGCATATCCTGTCTCTGAACACACTCGATCCAAAGTGATTCACATGACAAACCGAACCAATCAGCTGATTCACTTGATGTCTGACAAACCCAACTGCTTCGGACGTCACTCAAGTGATTCAAATGTCACTAGTCACGTGACCGAAACACGCCTTGGCACAGGGGTTCAAAACAATTGCTTTATGAGCTACCCCACGTGTGTCGGAGCCTCAGGTGTCATAGGGCCATCACTACTTGTTGTGTCTCTGCCCTTAGACCCAAGAGGCCGCATTCTGTAGCACAGAAAGAGTGAGACAAAGAACAAGGCAAAACCAGGGTTAACATTGGTTTAGCATGTCTGAGATGGAGAGCGCTAAAGTAAGTAAGTAAGGTTTATTTATATAGCACCTTTCGCAGATAAAATCACAAAGTGCTTCACAAAGACAACAATGAAAAGTGGAAAACAGGCAAACAACAATATGCCAACAACACCAACGGATAATATGTAAAACAATGATAAAAATAGATTAAAACATAGCTATCAAATCAACTAAAAGCCAGACTAAACAAATGTGTCTTCAGCTGCTTCTTGAAACCATCAACAGATTCGGCTAAAGTATCCAAAGGACTAAAAATTGATGCAGAAGGTACCAACATACTTTTGCCGTCCTTACTTTGTTTGCCCACGAAGAACGTGGCCTAAAAGATTAGGGAAGAGTGGCTGTTAGGCTCAAGGCCCTTTGGTGTTCAGCTCCCACGGGCTTCACTTATGCTAACCTTCGGCCCATTGGTCTGGACTCCTCGGCGCCTCTTCCATGTTTTCGGTTTCGCGATGCCTGAGAAGAGGTGTAAACTGGTCCAACCCTTGATCACTGAGACAGTCTTCCCAGCTGCTGAGCTCTGCTTCATCAATCCGGATGGGTTTGATTAACACCAGGTGATTTTAACATCCACATCTGCTGTCCTGATGACCCATAGACCAAAGACTTTTTAAATATTATTGACTCTTTTAACCTCACTCAATCTGCTCATGTATAAGATATACATGAGCTCGGACACACACTGGACCTTGTGATCTCTCATAGACTGCCTGTTTCCATTACTGTGTGACTCTCGGTTTTTGGATCACTTGCCTGTTTTATTCAATGTTGCTGCTCTGTCACTGGTAGACATACCTTTTAATCCTGCTGCTTTTAGACGCACTGTCACTTCTTTTACAGCAGGAGAGTTTTCTATTTCATATTCATATTTCTATTTAAAAACTTTAGTCTGTATTTGATGAATGATGTCTCCTCCCTTATGAATGCTGAGGAATAGTTAAACTCATTAACTACCACTTGCCAGGATATATTGGATTCTATTGCCCCCCCCTTCGACATAGACCAGCCAAGATACAAGCAGTGACTTGGCTAAACGATTCTACTCGGGCACTTAGACAAAGATGAATGCAAATGGAAGAAGGATAAACTTCACGTTTCTCTCTGCCATTTCTGGGATTGTTTCTCTGACTGCCAGAAGGCTGTAAAATCTGCCAAATTGAACTATCTTTACAACATTGTCATCAGTAATCGTCATAAACCTCAGGTCTAGCCCATGCTACACGGACTTAACTGCTTCTAACCAGGGTTTGGGCCCTCTAGCTCGACATCTGAAGTCGACTGTAAAAAATCTAGGGGTGATGTTTTATGGCGACTTGAGGTTTGACAAGCAAATCAACTCAGTTGTGAAATCTAGCTTCTTCCACCTCAGGTTGTTAAGCAAGGTGAAGTTATTCCTTTCTTTTAATGATTTTGAGAATGCAATCCATGCTTTTATCACCTCCCGCCTTGACTATTGCAATGCTCTATATTATGGTGTTAACCAGTCCTCTCTCATTCGCCTTCAGATGGTTCAAAACGCTGCTGCTCATCTTTTGACAAGTACTAGAAAATTCAAGCATATAACCCCGGTATTGGCTTCTCTCCACTGGCTTCTAGTCTGTTTTAGAATTGATGTTATTGATTTTTGTTTTTAAGGCTTTTAACGGTTTGGTGCCATCTTACCTCACTAAATTAGTGCATTAGCACAAACCTACAAGGTCCCTCAGATCTTCAAGCCAGTTTCTTTTAGCGGTTCCTAGGGCCAGATACGCTAGGGTGATCGTGCTTTACTGTTGCAGCCCCTAAATTGTGGAATAGTCCACCTTTTAATGTTAGGTCAGCTACTGACCTCAGTACTTTAAATCATTGTTTAAAACATATTTATTTGCCTTGGCTTTTAATACACAGTAGGGTCTGATGCATTCCTTTTAATCTAATTTATTGAATGTATGTCATCTGTGTGTTATTCTGCTGTTTTATTTTTGCACTGATCCTATTTATTCTATTTTAGTAATTTATTGTGGTTTTATTCTGCTATGTACTTTGGTCAGCTGGATGTTGTTTTTAAAGTGCTACATAAATTTGATTTGATATATACTGTATATGTATGTGAAACTAATAATGGGGAAGTCCAACAACTTGATGGTCAGAGGCCAAGGACCCACACTTCTCCAAATTACTGCACATTTACAAATCTCCACCTTTGTAGGTTTGGCAAGATTTTACATTTACCATTTAAAATATGGCAACATTACGGAATCAGTTATTTAATATTAATAAAAAGAAATGTTTCACCTGCCTTTCTATTGAGGGTCCAGTAAAGTGACAACCAAACAGAGGGGATCACCTTTGATGTGCTCACGCCTGAGGTCCAAATATCAGTTGTGAAGCTCCTGGCTTTAACATATTCTACCTGTGATGACACCTGGTTGTATAGTAGTCTCTGAAATGTATTTTCTGGATGGCAGATTATACCTGGGCTCTAAGTGCCTCCAACAGGCTCCGAGATTTTCCACTACAGATAGTGCTTGGCCCCTAACTAGGGGAGTGAGAAAAGAATTGACAATCGAATCGTGAGTCATATTTTCTATGATTCTAAATCGATTCACAAATGCTAAAAATTGATTTTTGTAATAATGTTGAAGGAATGAAAAAGGCAGAACTTTACCACAAAGCCAGTGTAGCACATGGACAGCGGACAGTGTTGTGTTACACATCTATGGTTGTAATGTTAGTTCATCTTCAGAAAAGGCAATCATTTTAATGTGTGTTTCTGACTTGACAATGAGCTTTGAGAGACAAGTGTGTAGGACTTTGTGACTATTTTGTAGCCCTTCACCAACAGACTGACATTAGTGTAGCGGAGCAGCGAACATATTTACAAACCAGAGCAGCTCAGCAACACACTGTAGCACTTCAGTCAAACTTGTGAGATACAGAATATACCTCGCTACCCCGCTTTTTTTAAATCAAATTGTTCTGAATCGAATTGGAATTTAATTGAGTTAGCCAAAGATTCCCACCCCCTAATACCTAACACATACTTCCCATACCACCACCAAATTGCTGCATTAATCCTGCCTTGAATGGCAGTGTAAAAGTGGTTTTTATAGGAGAGTAATCTTTGTATGCATAACAATTTTCTCTCTTTCATTTTGATCAGAACAAAATGAGGCAAAGCATGACAACTCATCATCCCCTGGAATCACCGACCAAGAGAAAGAAATGGCAGCCAGTGCATATGAGGCATTCTTGGTAAATCGTCTTCATTCTTTCCAGTAACACATTGACACTAGGGCTGTTTTGCATTTTTGTAACCCTTCTTCACATTCACCCATCTATGGTACAACCATTGGGTGATGTAGTTGATATGCATAAAGTCAAAATAAGGAAAACCCACACACACAAGTTGTTAAAAGTATAAAAATGAGTGGCCATGACGAGTCAGATGGTTGCACATGATAATGAAACTGTGGTAAAGAGAGGTCACACACTGTTGGTGATGAAGAAAAGGTTTGGATTTTTAAAGCTGGAAAAACAAAGAGATGCATACAGTATTATCAGATAAAGATAAAAGGTAACATTGTCATCCCATAATCAAGGGCTGAATGATTGTTTTCAAATCTTAATTCCAATTTAACAGAAAGCAATTCTCCAGTCACAAAAACTATTATTTAAATTGCTATTGAAATGTGGTTTTAAACTATAGATTAGACACAATCCAACCAAGTCCTCACGGGTGTCAGGTGCACGCACAATGCCCTGCCCTGCAGGCGCCACATGAGAAAATGCAGTTAGTGGAATTAAGAAAGACACACCAATACGTTTTTTTTTTACTTTGGTGCTGTTATTTGCACTGAAATAGCCACGGAAGTCAACAAAACCATTTGTCAGTTACCAAGAGACAATGTGTATCAAATTAATATGGAATGCAATTTGTCATTTTTAACGCTTATATTTATTGTCCACAGTGGTGAACACATCATAATACTAAGTAAAACTAAATCAGTTTAGAAAAGCTGTGAGATCAGAAGGGTTAAGACAGGCTCTACCATCTTCATGCATGTGGAGCAGCACAGCCCGCTGGCTGTTTCCTCATCTCTGTCTCCTTCCACTAACTGTTCGGTCTCTCGGCTCCACCACCTGGTAACCTTTATCACCATTAAACAATGTGGCAGCAGTAGGCTAACTGTTGTTGACTCATTTTACATGAATATCATAGTAAAAAAAAAAAAGCATAAAGGCATGGCAGAGAAAAAAAGTTATGAAATACGTCAGATAGTTCAGTGCATCTCACAGCACTAAGTGTGCAGATGACAAATGTATAAATAACCAGTCAAGTTTTAGCCTACAGCATAAGAGGAAGGCAGAAGGAAGTTAGTCTGAGTTTGTTTAGCAGGTTGATGTTGTACAGCTTCATTTTCTGCTATGGTTTAATTTGCTATGGTTTGATCTGTAAAATTGTATGAATGACATAAGAAAAGAAAATACGCCTGTTGTGTATTGACTGCTGTACTGACCAGTTTGAATTCGAATTTCACACTCTGTAGCCTATAGCTAAAGCGAGAGCAGACGTCTTTACTGCTCCTCTTGTCTGTTCTACGATTTTTCACATCTTCTACATTTTCAAGTCTTTGAACAAATTCTACAACTATTAAAATGCCTCCAAGAGGGAAAAGAGCTAATAAATCAGA